TCTTTGAAATCGAGGAAATGAGTGCTCAATTGTCAGAACTCGAAAATTTTTAATTTGAGCTTTTTCTGGGGTTGAATCGCGAGCCCGAACACTAACCTTGTAAAGCAATAAATTTATTATTTATGACCATTAAAAATTTGCACCTACAACGTCGGTTTTTGATTTTCAATTTAGTCCAGTGCTGAGATCAGGCGTCCCTTGCCACGATTCCGCCTATTAAAATTTAAAGCATAGCAAATTCTAAATGAGTGCAAGTTTGCATCTCTATAGCTAATGTTGGAGTTGCAACCAATTGTTCTAGTGATTGCCACTGCTTTGTATGATATCCAAAATGGCGATTGAAATTCCGCGTAATGTAAATATCAGATCTGAAATGTGCAAAAAGTCATAAAAAATTGCAATACACGTATGCTGTACCAAAGGGCCGATTATAAAGGTTCAAAATCGAACTTGTTCCGATTGGATTGTTGAGGTGAAATCGACTAAAGTTTTCGTGCCTCGTTTATAGATCTAGGCCTTCATCGGGGTTTAGGCTTTTATTTTGTTTAAAAGCTTTCAAAACTTTCACGAGCACTCCTATTTATGGGATCAGAATAGACTACTGATCTTGCCCCATGCAGCAATGGATTTGAATCTAATGTGATTTAATTGGACGCAAACAAACATCCTGGCTCCAAAGGAAATACGTCATACGGGCTTCGGGATGGAGGGAAAATACTAATGCCACAGTACGTATAGACTGGAAATGACATTCCGATAAAGACATCTATAATTGGTGCTCCAAGGGCTTTGACTCTCGCTCTTCATAAAGGCCTAGCATTTGAGCCAATAATAGTACACATTCTAAGTGCTTTGATCGGTAGATTACAGTACCACTCTCAATTTCTGCCTAGAAACATGATAAGGATAGCGATAAATTCTATTTCTAGTAAAAATGAGGCGGCTCATTGGTGATTATGCTGAACCGTCCATTGGGAATTTTGAAGTAAGGAACTTTTTATCTATGGGGCCAGTTCCAGCCTCCTCAGTTGTGAAGTTCAGACTCGTCGCGGTCGTCCGAAAGACGACGCCTGCATGTTTGATGTATGGAACGGAAGAAGGCAACCAGCCTAGATGTCCGCTTTGACGAGGCCAGGGAACGGTCGGCCATGACTGTGACGAGCGCCGGAATGGAGCCCATGAATGCGGCCACTTCAACTCCAGAAAAGTGAGCCTCTGGAAGTGCGTGCACGGCGGACTCCAATGCACCTCCAAGCGCAGAAAAGCTAGCCAAGGCACTGCTACTTTGTCGTACCGATGAAGAGCCCAAAGCAGACGCCGAGTCTAAAACTTCGCAGACCAGAAGAAGCAGGCGACTGATCTCTGGTATCATGTCGTAAGGGAATATTGTTGAACATATAACCACCTTGACGACGGCACGGATAAGAACGGCGGATGGGTCGCCCTGTAATGCTGCGAGCAGTGGTTGCCGAAGAGATATGGGCGCTTCTTCGTCCATGGCGACAAAGTAAATGTCGGCAAGCAGCTGGCAACATTCAAAGACCAGATCTGGATCAAAGGCTTGACATTTTCCCATCCATGCTGCAATCCATGTTACAGCAGCGCTAGCGAATGCAGGATCGCCTACTATATGCTCGGGCAAAAGCTCCATCACACTTCGAAGAAGGATGACCATTGCCTCCATAGAGCTCGGAACAAGAGCACCCCAACTCCAAAGACGTCTGAGCATTCCACTTACAAGAGCCACAAGAGCTGGATGCCCTACTCCCCGCGTAGCAGCAACTCGACGGACGAATGAATCTAAAATTAATTGAAAAATCTACTTGCAAGCCGSATATATGCCGCCGCATTGTCCAATGATTCACCAGAAGATGAATCCGGGTGCGCATCAACTTTGGAAGCCCAAAGATTCAATATGGCGATAGAAAGGCGCTCTAAAAGCAATGCATCTGACTCTGGCAGCAGTAAAGCGACCAGCAAGATGCTTCTAAGCACGCCTGCGTTAAGTGACTCAAAGTTCCATTCTCCAATAATGGAGGCCAATGAACGCAGCACAGGTACAAGGGTATCTTTTGCCGACGCGCGCTCAGAAGCAATAGCAAGCACAAGCTCAAGACTGCGAATTTCACGAGCGCTCCATAGCGAGGCAACTAACTCGCACAGCATGGCGGCAAGCCCTGCTCCGACAAGTAAATGTGCCAGGGCACCCAAGATACGCTCGTTGCGTGGGTGGCGGCGGAAAAGCGCACATATTGGCCCCACCCATCGTCCAGGATCCTCTTCAGCGCCAGTACCAACTCCATTAGCCAGTAATGTTTCAAGTGCCATCGCTGCCGCTGCAAACGTAAGAGATCCCCATGGAGCGCCACCGTCTTCTGCCAGTACGGCAAGGACAGCCTCGAGCTGAAAGGGGCCAAGGCGCGTAATGCGTTCTGTTCTAAGCGCTGTCCATGGCGCATATGCCGAAATAAAGAGCAGTGCGGCATACCAAAGCCGCTCGTTGGAGACGCCACGAGGATGGTCTGCCAAAAGCCGAGGTAATTGTTGTATTAGAGACCCAATTGGCTCCTCTGAAGTGTCTGGAACCGTTCCGGCAACAAGTCGCGCCGCGGTCAGAATTGCCTCTGCAAATCGTGCATCCATGATGGAGTTAGAAACGCTCTTGCTACTAAGCATGAGAAGCGTCGATAAATCGACGCCAAGAGTAAGAGCAGCAATCACAAGATCCTTGAGACCATCCCCTACGACGTGGCGAAAAGAGCGAAAGTCATCGACCTCTTGGCGCGTCATGGCCCCGTTGGGCCATTGCAGCACCGTAACCATCAAAGCAAACCCGCGAACAACAACCTCGTTTGCACTGATGCCATTTTTATGAGGTGATGAGTTCCCGTGGACGACGTGACCTTGTTGATAATTAGATGTCTGGATGGCATGATTGATGGAGTAGCTATTTTGGGCATTAGTAGAATTAGCTGCTCTTGCAACATCGACAAGACGATCCCAGAGACGAAGACTGGCGTCCGCCAAGCGCAAAGAGGGCGGTGAGAGCGATCCAAAGAGACCGTCACGCCACAATGTGCCTCCAAGTAACCCTAATGACAACTCAAAAAAGCAATCCATGAACTCGATCAACGCCAAGCCAAACACTTCAACAATTTCGTCATCTTTTGGTAGCTTTGGGATGGCGGCTGCCAGTAACGAGCCCATGTGTGCAGCATCAGCCTCACTGCCAGCATCTCGAAGTACTAGGATAATTTCCATCAGCAACTCTGAGACAATGGGCGCTGAAACTGCCCCTGCTATGAGCGCGGCTACGGCACCCTCATCCAATGCATCTACAAATGACAACAATTTTGGTACGCTCGCGGATCATGGAAAGAACCCTGCGGCCATCCGCCGCGCGGATCCAGTTTAGCATGCACTCGACACGCCTTTCTGCAGAAAATCCCTGCACCAGCGCAGGCAGCGTCGCAAGGTGATTATCGACGAGCGCCCCAGCTTGTGCGCGCTCTTCACTGGTCGTTGTACCCTCGATTAGCGCATTTGGATATGAAACAAGAAACTCCTCCACCATTTCCGGGTCTGCCAAGGCTTTCAATGTCTGCGAAAAGGAATCACCTTCACCATGCAAGCGAAGTGAAAGGCGGCTCAGACAGAGCGCTATCTGAATCCAGAAAGGGCGCGTAGATGTTGGCCCTCCTGGCGTTACCGCTAGCGAGGCTTGCAAGCTCTGTAGATTTGACACGTCTAGTTGTGAAGCATCAAAGGCCAGCTAAAATTATCTCAATTTGCATGGGTACCTTGCGGCGCAACGTTTGGGCTCCGAAAAGGCGATATGCTGCGGGGAGCCCCTGAGTCGAAATAAGCTCCATCGAGCCAGACCATGCATCCATTGTGTTCTGCCAGCGCGAGAGAAACCGATCCGCTGCTCTCCGGTCAGCAGCGGCAGTTGTGGCACCACCGGCATCATAGAGCAATCCCAAGGCCTCGACTAGCTCCATTATAAATTTAAATTCTGCTGCGCACTTGTGCCAAGTTGTTTTAATTTTAATTTAATGACGTCCAGGGATTTTGATATTCTTCGGCAACGGTACAAGTGAGTGGGTTAATTTATTGGAAACCATTGACCTTTAAAACCGTTTTCGTTTTCATATATTAACCTGATAGGTTTATTCCCGAGGACTCGCAGCGGCCAAATAAAGATTGGCAAGACAGGATGGTGCTTGGTTACAATGATTCTCTCTTTCGGGAGTTTGCACTATTCACCACAAGAGATCCTGCGGATTCCTGTGCAGGGCCTTCTTCCATAGCCATACGATGGCGCACAAAAGTCGAGGTAAAATCTGGAAAGGGTGTCTATATTTGCAGCAATCTATCTTGCTCCGCCTGTGAAGAGCTTTGTTGCTTCGAAGTGCCTTTTTCTTATGTGGAGGAGGGACGTCTTTGCAAGACCCTTGTTAAATTATCTGTATGTCCGTCATGCGCACGCCTTCTTCGAAGACGCAACTAATTTGGTGGCAGGCATTACTTTTAACCATCTTTTCACTTGGGAACAATTCGGCCTTGCGCCTTCAGTGTCTTGATGAATTTGCAAATTTTAGCTGGCGATGGCTGTTATTTGCAAAGGCTAGCCAGCTAAATAGACATTAAAGTTTTCACGTACAAAAATAAAGCACATGAAATTTGGCTTTTTGCGTCCTGGGGACCGTGTCACCGATGCCAAACCCAGTGATAGAGAAGCTCGTTTTAACGATCGCCTTGAGCTACCATAGACAAGCCAAGTAACACAAGCTTAGACATGGTGCGACATCTAAGCCTGATATACATGCCTATTCAAACTGACATCAACTGACATCTTGAACGACGGAGAAATGGAAGCTGGATTGATAGGAGTCAAATCTACAAGCAAATTTCAGGACGGGATACTTTTATTTTATAAAATAATAAGCACAAACAGGGTAGTTGCAACAGCCAATGCCGAATTTGTATTTGCACAAAACGCACCATCGGGAACAGGCACAGTATCAATTTTTTCCTTCTTTGACGGAGAGGAGGCAGAATCTGCCATGGCATCGTCGCGGAACTTGAAAAAAGTTGCACTTATCTTGAAAAGAGTAACATCGTTTTTCGTTCCTGTGATCAATACATTGTACCTTCCGCTTGCAATTGATTCAGGGAGTTTCGCACCTATAGAAAATTCATATGAAACTCCCGGTAAAAGGGGGAATGTGGGGACCGTTTTGCTCTCTGCCTGCGAAAACAGCTCACTAATCGGGATCGTTGAATCTACAAGATGAAATCCACAATGCTGGACAGAGAGTGAAACTTGAGCATCTGCAGCCTTGATGGGTTCTTTGGACTTTGTAATAAAAGAGCCCTCGATCTTGAACATTTCACCAGGAATTACGGGAGTGGCTCTAAGATCTCTGAATTCAACTTCATGGGTCTTATTTGCTAAAACTGTAAAAACCAGTGCGTCTGCCATTGGAAGCCCCATTAATGGAGATGGTATGAGAACAGCCAAAACTCCCAACACGAGAAGAAACTGCATTTAATTTAATTAAAGCTGAAAAAAATCCCAAACATCAAATATGATTTAATCCATCCAATAAAAAAGCCCTTTAAAGTGTCGCAATTATGCGAGTTATTTTTTGCATTTTATTCTCATTTCTGGGTGTATGCATGCGTATTTGCCTTCAAATCGCATGAGACTATGCTACGGAGAATACGTGAACGGCTACTTGTAGTCTTAATGATAAAGCTTTGTATCATAATTTATATTAAAGATCATCACAACAAACTGCACTCTTAATGTACATGGAACTCAAATTTATATGGCTTCCATAGGCAATCGAAAAGATTAGGGTTAGATGGTGTTTTTAACTTTGGAAAAGACTGTTATTATTGGAGCCATTCAAAAGCTTTGTCTGTAAACGCGTGATAAAAACAAAAATTGAGGCTATCTTAGCGAAAAACATATATCAGCTGTTGATTGAATAGTCTATAAATTTTGCATTTTATGTCATTTTGCGCTATTTTATTAAACCTGAATTTATCAAGCTGAGTTTCAACGGTGCTGACCTGGTCTCATAATAGTTTTGAATGTAAATAAATTTTCCATTTAAGAAATTATAAAAATAACCCCCCCCCGTCAATTGCAGGCCAAAAGTTGGTACCTACCAGTTGAAATAAAACACCCGATTAATTTTCTTGCCCCTGTCACCTTGAAGGGAAAGGCTGCAAATAAAAATTAATATAAACAAGGAATATTCTAATTTTAACAATCCATATATTTTTCTTCTTTCTAGCCTCTTCGTAAACCCTGGAGGTAGCTGTAAAACCACGAATCACAGAATTGAGGAGAAAACTCCACTTTTCACCTTATAAGGAGATTTAGGATTATCAAGGACATAAAAATATATATTTCCGAGTCTGATCTAAAAGAGGGTTTTTATGCCGATGCCATAGTAAAGATATGGATTTTTCAAGAATATATTCACAATCCCGACATATTTGAACCTACCAATAAAGTCTGTGCGCACCTAAAAAACTGAACATTCTCAGTTATATTTGTTTAAAATGGAGATAGGCCTTCAATTTCTCTACAAGAAATCATCCATGGCGATCGAAATGCCAGGAAAATTTTCCTTTTCTCAAAAAGAGAAATCAAGGCCGCAAATGGCGGTTCCAACATTGGGCTAAAAAAGAAATATGAACTCTCCAAAGAAAGCTTGAAAACATCTTATAAATTCAAAGCTTGAAAACATCTTATAAATTCAAAGCTTGAAAACATCTTATA